TTGAAAAACAAAAACATCAATTATACAATCAAATGGAAACTATTGAAACGAGCTAAGCCTGATAACTGTGCTTCAAATCGGTATAATTTGGGTTTATGGGAGAAATACTTTATTATCTGTAAGCCAAAAATGGCCACTTTAAACAAACGAAATGAGTTAGTGTCTGCATGTAGGCATAATAAAAAATTCCTTTTAAGTAATATTTAAAAAGCTAGACATTTAAATATACCGTGGTGTGTTGATTTTTCCGCGTCCTGTCAGCTTATCACATAACATGTTAATTAAATCGCGTGATTTGTAAATAGGATTAAGTTTTTTTAAAGTCTCATCCACTTGTATAGATATATAACCTTGTAAGTTTTAGTGTATAGTCATTAGGTCAATTTATCTGAAGAGTGCCACATTTTGTGGTACGAAACTATTTAGTAATAAAGATGCCCAGTGGATTTTGTTGATTGTTGTACCTTAATAAAGGGGCGGATCTAGGGTAAGTCCAATCAGTCGCGTGACTGACGTATTTTTTGCAAAGGATAATTAATTTATTATTTCGTAATTTGAATAATTAATTCCCAAATATAATATGAAATTCATATCATAGTCCAGTATACGTCTTTACCAGCTCAGTTTTGAATAAATATATGCTTTATCTAGAGCAGCGGTAAAACGCAAGAATCTCGCAGAATCGGGTGGTCGTTATGCTTATTTGATTGGTCGAGAGGTCATTTGGACTTATCTCGACTGATCTGTGGGGTGGCCGGACTGATTTGCACTTTAAGGGAGTCTTTATCAGTCCATTTCGTTCCTTTGATTGGTCAATTTGAAAATATTGTGGGGTGGTCGGACTGAATTCCAACTTAAGGGAGTTTTTATGGGGTGGTCCGACTGATTTGCACTTTAAGGGAGTTTTTATCAGTCGATTTCCTTCATTTTGATTGATCAATTTGAAATTATTGACAATTTCTATTGGTTCATTTTTTTGGACTGATTCGGACTTATTCGCGGCAGGGGATATCAGTCCTTGAAAATTGCGAAATTTATGCAAAGCAGTCTTTCATATTCCCGTATATGAAGGTTTTTCATAGGTGGGAGAATTATTTTACGATGCCGAGTATTTATATGTACGCGGCCGATTTTACGAGACGATTTAACGGCCTTTAATAAACTTGAATTGTCTCTGAATGAGGATTATTGTGGGGCAGCTAAGATATCAAGCGAGCAGCTTTTATAATGTTGTTCTGTTCAACAACGAGAAGGCACTAAGTTGGGACTTCTCTGCTACGTGCTTCACAATAAATCACAAAGATCATGGTCGTAATTTGGGTGGTAAAGCCAAACGGAAAGTGTGCACTGCTATAATGTATGAAAATATCCAAAATTATGAAACAGAAATGAATATATTGCAATGTATCTTGTATGATAAATGCGAAGTTGAAATATAACACGCTTTAATATATTTTTACACGCAATCGACTTCGACGACTTGCAACTTACAATGCGCTTTCAGGCCTTATAGCTTTCCTGCTGTATTTATAATTTATAAATGCATTGTCCATTATAAAATGGGCCAGAATAGAGCATTGGCATTGGAGGGTTAAAACAATATAATTTGGATGATTTGCATTGCATGAAAGATTTGCGATGAATATCGTTATAATATACAAGTGATATTTATAGCATATTGTAATTCATTGAATAAAAAATGCATTTTACAAAGTATAATTGAAATATTACTCTTTATTTTGCTTGAGAATTTTGATTCACAAACAGCGAGTTATATTGGATCGGCCATTGGTATCACTCACTTCAATTTGCGAAGGATTTCATGAGCCAAACTCAAAGGCTATTGAAAGTTGAAACAACATGATGTGTTTTGTAATATGACCCTCCGTTAGTAAATCTAATTCCGAGGACTGGGAGAAGGCACGTTTGTGAGATCATAAAAAAAGCATGTGCTTGATGTACTTTATAATCTTTGGAATTCTGCAAAAGGTCACCGCCAAAACGCTTGAAATCGCATTTCAGAGACTCTAGATTTCAAAATTTTCCCGGGGGGCTTGCCCCCAGAGGGGCTTGCCCCCATGTTTGAAAAATCCTAGATCCGCACCTGCTTGTTTTTCAGACGAGTGTATACCAAACCGGGCAAGCAGAAAATTCTACTTGACCGCGGCTGGGATTCGAACCCGCGACCTTCGCATTTCTAGAACGATGAGCTACAAGGTCAAGCTGAGAACGAGCTGAGAACCTTCTGAGCTACAAGGTTCTCAGCATCGTTGTAGAAATGCGAAGGTCGCGGGTTCGAATCCCAGCCGCGGTCAAGTAGAATTTTCTGCTTGCCCGGTTTGGTATACACTCGTCTGAAAAACAACTCAAA